TCTTGAACTTGAAACAATCACTCTCCCTCTTCTTATCTTACGTGCTCAAAACACACACTAAAATCATCTAATTCAGAACTGGGTTTCTCTACAAATTTCCTGGGTTGCCTATAAAATTTTGAGTATACTTTTTGGATCAAGTCTATGCACACGAGACCATTCTTACAAAGGGCAAAGAGAACTGAGAAGGGGGGATGGACGGTTAAGATTGACCTTGGTACATTTATTCTTGTGTGTTTCTTTCGTTTTCTACCTCTTTAATTTGTGTAGTAGTGTGTTGAAGGAGGGTGCGGTTGAGATTCACGTTCACTGTCAAAGGTAGTAGCAGGTTGTTCGTTGCCGGAGAAGAAAGAAAATAAGCAAAATAACTAAAATACCTTCATATTTGACCTATTAAAATTTTTCGGTGAGATTTGGCCGGCAATTTGGCCGGCGTGACCAAAATTGATAGAAATTGCATAGTCAAGGTACTAAATTAATATTTTTAAAAGTCAAGTGTTGCAATTAACACAACTTCAATAGTCAGTGGACCAAAATTGAAATTTTGTGTGTTTGGTTCATTTGGTTTATACACTACGAATGAGAATCAAAATCATAGTTAGTGTTTGGTTGATAACTTTTTAAAAACATAACTATGAGTTTTGGTTGCCTCTTCAATTAAAAATTCTATTCCCTAATTAAAAAAGTGTATCATTCCGTTTTATTAGTAATCTAATTTTTATGTCTGGATTAGTATTTTTAGATTTTTGTTTTGATTTTTTTTTTTTTGTTTATATTGATGCTTTGGATGTCATTATATTATGATCAATTGTCTTGATTTTTTGTTTTTGTACTTTTAAAACATTTATTCCATTATAGGGTCGGCTACTACTCGTTGGGTTTGGAATCCCAGTTAGGGGTGTGCATACTAAAGGTACCAAACCCAATTGTTATACCGTGCACCACGGTGCACATAGTAATGTGTGCCCCGCACCTCTCAAAAGACGTCGTTTTGTTAAGTTGTGTGGAAAATTAACACGACGAAAACATATGTGTATTCAGTTATAAATTATGTGTTTTCAGGCATAAAATTATGTGCATTATGTTATACAATTCTGTACATTCGAAACAGGAGATTTTTATCCTTTTAAAAAAGATTATGTCTATTCAGTTATAAAATTTCGTATTTTCAGGTATAAAATTATGTGCATTCTATTATATAAATCAGTACATTCAAAACATGGAAATTTTCAGTTATAAAATTCTGTGTATTTAGGTATAAAATTCTGTGTTTTCAGGTATCAAATTCTGTATTTTCAGGTATAAAATTCTATGCATTCTATTATACAATTCTGTACATTCGAAACATGAGTTTTTGTTTTTTTTTAAGAAGTTAACAGCAGACACATGCGAAAAGGCCCAATTCTGTGCATTGTGTGCCTTGGTGCACGGTATAATTTGCCTACCAAACCTGCTTCCAAAATATGAGATAAGTGGGAGAGCTGAGATTAGGCCAGTAGAGAGTTGCTGAGCCCGAATAGGTTCTTTCACATTTAGTAAATTTCTTACCTCCCCACTTTCATGATGAGACAGATATGAGAGATTGAGATATGTTAAGACAGATATGATTGATTGAGATATGAGATTGATATGAGTTCCTCCAATAATACTATTGCAATGATATTATATTTTCTTGAGGTCGGGGGTTTTGATATAAAAGACTTACATATTGATTTTGAGAAAATCTTCCACTTTGATGTTTACTTTTTCATATGAGTATAAACGGAATGTAGTGACTGTTTTATCATTCAAGTTACTTATCTTGATGGTTCAGATTTGCTTTATATTATTTCCATTTACTTATGTTATCCACTTTGAGCAACCCTTTCTTATTCACTCTCACTTAGTTGTCTCTTTGCATATTTATCTATCTAGTGGGTACTTAATATTTGTTCAAGCATGAGTTAGTTGTGTCTATATATATATATATATATATATATATATATATATATATATATATATATATATATATATATATATATATAGGGTTGCACTCAGGTGCGAATAAGTGTCCAGGAAGGAATACGCGAACGAATCAGCACGCAACACGTGTCTAGATCTAATAGCTTAAAAAAATGCGGTGACATTTTCGTAAATAATTGAACATCGAAGTGCAAGTAAAATCACTTACAAGTGCATCTACTTTCACCTATAAGTGCATGTAATTTTGTCTTGTTAACATTCACTTCCCGCAAACATTCATGCACCTGGGTGCACCTACTTATAACTATAGGTGCAACTGCTTATAATTATAGGTGCACCTACTTTCACCGATTAGTGCATGTAATTTTGCCTGGTTAACATTCATTGATATGAGTTCAATGGGTAGTAATACCCCTGAAAGCCATCCGCAAACGTTCATGCACCTAGGTGCAACTACTTATAACTATCTGTGCAACTACTTAGAACTATTGGTGCAACTACTTATAATTATAGGTGTACTTAGTATTGATGCTCAGTGTAAATTTTTACTTGCACCTATAATACATTTTACATGCACTTGTAATACATTTTACTTGCACTTCGATGTTCAATTATTTACGAAAATGTCTCCGCGCTTTTTTTTTTTTTTTTTTTTTTTTTTTTTTTTAAATCAGTGTTTCTCATCCATTAGATCTGGACACGTGGACGAACAGAATCCATTCTCATTTCGCACCTGGGCGAAGCATTCACACCTGAGTGCGATTATATATGAAATTATATATATATAGGTCCGGTCCTATCATTTTATAGGCCCGGGGGCGTAGCAACAAAAATGGACCCTATATGAAATTAATATACATTTGTATAATTAAAATTTAAATTAAATAAGAAAAAAATACTAATGTCAAATAACTTGAAATAAAATTCAAAAGTTTTAACAATTTTACATACACATGATAACAATTCTAGATGTTTTCCTTAATCCAAAATAATCAATAACTGTATCAGTGCGTTTATAAATAAACAATTATATATAGTTTATAAACAATTTGAAACCAAATAAGCTTATACGCAATCACATTATTATTATAATAAATCATAAAATAATAATTATTAAAATTTTAAAATATAAAAACAAAACTTATGAACAAGAGTAGAGCATTGTAACACCCCCGATTTTACCAAAATTTAAAAGCTTGAACAAGATACATAAAACTAAACATTAATCATTAAACAACGGAAGCAACGTCTAAACACGGAGGTGCTATGCCACACCTATATCAAACATAGGTGCACAGACAAACTACTAAACAAACCACAACAGCTAACGGTTAAACTAACTAGGCTCACAGGCCATAAACAACTAGAAAAGCATAAGGAGCTACACTAGGCTACTACGGTCCACAAGCGCGCTCTCCAAAGCTACTCAAAACCTGTAAAGAGATAGGGATAACACCCATCAGCGAAATATGCTGGTAACCCTCCAATATGCGTTAAGTATCATAATATATAGATATAATCAAAACCATTTGAGACAGAGGAATACATTATATATATCATTTTAAATTCAAGAGAGGAAACATCAATAGACTCATCAATTCACTCTCAACAAGGACCACATGCCAACATACTCAACAAGGCAATAGAACAACAAACGACATACTCAACAATGGATACTACCTACCATACTCAAGGTAGGGTTCATCATAGACCTGCTCATAATCAATAAAGCGAGGTACATACTCACAACATGTTCCAAGCCCACATAGGACATAGCCAAATTGAAGCATACATCAAAGAGTCATCTCAACGACTCGAATCATAGTGGACCAGTGTGGAGGACTCCAAATCATCAAACACATACCATAGAGTCATCGCAATGACTAGGACCGCAACCCAATGGAAACAGATCTAGCAACTTTAAGTGTATACACCCCCTATTGAGATTCCAAGCTCAACGGGTTAGTTACTATCTCTGGCAGCGGGGGTAAGTTTCCCAAGTTGCCCACAAGCCATAAGTATCCAAATGGCAATCCGGAGCTTTAAACCCACTACCGGATCAATTCACACATAAGTCCCCACACTGTCCACTTTATCAGCTCAATCATCTCATCACATCCAATCCATCATCTCACAAGAGTCAATACACACGGAATCTAGATATACGACAAAGCATAGATTCCACACAAAGTGTGTACAACAAGGGATAAACTCAACAATAGCTTAATCACGGGGTAATCAATGAAGTACAATCCACAGAATAATCAACAAAGTACAACATTTGTACAAGATCACATCAAGGGATTCGTTCGAGAGGTTTCAATGAAAGACATGAAACGATACTCAACAACAATAATGGACTTCAATCCAATCAACAACATGATTGGCAACACAAGTTGCCAATCCTCAACAAGAATGGACAAACTACGCATACTAGTATCAAAGACATCATGACTGGCATGCACGTCAAACGGGTAAACCAAAACGGTTCCAACGAACCTCCAAGACTCACATAAATCTAACGAATCACAAAGTTGGACCATAAGCACAATTCAAGACACCAAGTCTTATCATGGATTCCTAAAACATCGTTCTAGACATACGAAACATCAAGAAGACACTCAAAAGCTCAACAATCCAACAAAGGGAGGCCAAAGCATCAAATACCAAAGGGTGGAACCACGGTAAAAACAACACTTGACATGCCACCATCAATGTACCCCACGGTGGTTACCTGCACGCGGTACCCCCCTCCGGGTACACACTTGCCACCCGCGGGTGGGGCGGCGGGTGGACATCCGCCCGCCGTCCTGCCCGCGGGGAACACCCTATTAGACTATGTTATTATTATGTATTTAATTGTGTACATTCTGTTAGTGATCTAGTCTCTAGCCTATTAGATAGCTCTCTCTCTCTGAGTGTATTAATGTTATCAAAATTCTGTAACTGAATGAATTAATCGCTTCCATTCTCATCTGGTATCTGTTAGCTAGTAGGAATCCCCCGATTGTGTTTCTCTCTCTTCCTCTCGTTTCATGATGACTGAGGGTTCCGAACGCACACTCACGACCACCACCATCTCCTCCCCAAACACTACCCCAAATTCCCTTCCTAGTGCACACCATTTTGTGTCACTGAAACTCACCCATCGGAACTATCTGTACTGGAGAACGCAAATTATACAGTTTCTACATGGACAGAGGCTGCTCGGCTTCATCGATGGCTCGCGGCCATGCCCAGCTCCGGTCATCGCCGCCGCCACACCGAATCCGGCGTACAAAGCATGGATTGAGCAGGATGCTTCCATCCTATCCTTGCTCATCCCGTCGATCTCGGAGGAAGTGACGTACCTCACGCTTGGACAGATGACTTCCTGTGCAGTGTGGCTCGCGGCAGAGACGGCGCTCGGTTCTTCTTCGCAGGTTCGCTGCCTCAATCTCATGGGGCAGTTCTAATCACTTAGACAGGGGGATAGCTCGACACCGGAGTATCTCGGGCGTGCACAGCATTTGGTCGAGGACCTAGCGCTCGCCGGGCGACCGATGACGTTGTCGGAGCAGAACTTTATGTTTTCCGGGGGCTGCAGCCGGAGTTCCAGTCTATGGCAGCCTCCCTGGCGGTCACCGGTACGCCGGTGACGATCCCGCAGCTGGCGGATTATTTACAGGCACAACAATTCATCCATGCGGATGATTTCTCGGTCTATCAGCCGGCTACGGCGAGCGGTGTTCCCTCGGCGTTGTATGCCGACTGAGGTGGATGACAGCAGGGCCGTGGCGGCCGTGGTCAATCCTGCGGCGGAGGGGGTCGCGGCGGCAACCAGCGAGGAGGTCGCGGCGGACGTGGTCGGAGCGGTGGTGTGCGTTGTCAGATCTGCAGGTCGCAAGGCCACTCCGCTGCTTACTGCTATCGGAGGTACTCTGAACCGCCACCATCCCAGGCGCATGTGGCAGTCGCTGGAGACGGAGGTGCGACTCCAGCAGTGACGTCCTGGCTGCCGGACACAGGCGCTTCCACGCACGCTACTCCGGATTCCAGCGTGGTCTCACAGTCCGAGGAGTATCACGGGGACGATGTCCTCAGAGTATCACGGGGACGATGTCCTCAGAGTGGGTAATGTCACAGGTTTGACGATCTCGCGTGTGGGTCATGCAGTTATTCCTTCGGTTACTAAACCATTAAAATTATCTAATGTATTACATGTCCCTGAGTTGTCGGTCTCTTTATTATCTGTAAATCGCTTTACAAAAGATAATAATTGCTTTTTTGAATTTCATCCTAGTTTTGTTGTTGTGAAAGACTCCACCACACAGGCGGTTCTTCTTAAAGGTCCAAGCTCGGGGGGATTGTACTCGTTGTCTGTTCCTAACTCACATAATGCGTTCGTCTCTGCTCGTGCCTCTTCCACGGTCTGGCATCAGCGTCTCGGTCACCCACATGATCAAGCCCTCAAACGTGTCTTACGGGGATGCCCGGTTGAATCTAATTAAAATGTAATCCCCGGTTTATGTTTGTCATGTCAACTTGGGAAATCCTCTCGATTCCCGCTAGATAGGGTAGCTAAGTCTAGCAATAATATTTTAGATCTCATTTACACTGATATTTGGGGCCCCACGCCTGTTCTTTCCGCGGATGGCTCGCGCTATTTTGTACTCTTCGTAGATGATAACACCCGCTATTGTTGGTATTATCCTCTACGACTCAAAACCGATATATACAAAATATTTGACGTTTTTCGGGCGACGGTAGAACGTACGTTTTCACGTTCTATCAAGTCCATTCAGTCTGATTTGGGAGGGGGGGGGGGGGGGGGGGGGAGGGATACCAAAAATTACACAAACTTTTTACCTCCTTAGGGATCGTGCACAGGCAATCATGTGCCTATACGCATGAGCAAAATGGGCGTGTTGAACACCGGCATCGGCATATTGTCGAGACCGGTCTGGCCATGATGGCCCAAGCGTCTGTCCCACAACGTCATTGGGACCACGCATTCGAAACAGCCATGTATCTTATAAACCGCTTATCGTCTTCTTCACTCCAGTTTGATACACCATACTACCAGTTATATCAGTCACCACCCACTTACACATATTTACGTGTATTCGGGTGTCTTTGTTTCCCGTACCTTCGTCTCTACAACCGTCATAAGATTGAATACCGGTCAAGTCCTTGTGTCTTCTTAGGTTACACACCGTCTTTTAGGGGTTACCGCTGCATGCATCTAAACACCGGGAAAACTTACGTCTGTCGCCATGTCTGCTTTGACCAAACTACCTTCCCTTTTGCAGCTAGGAGTTCTGTGTAGTCTGGGACACACCCGCCCGTACCCAGCTTGCCATGGGGGTCCAGTCCCGTTCTACATCACGGTGACTTAGCTTAACCACCGGCCTCCACCACTGGCCCGGCTCCGGCTCCGGCTCAAGCACCCATGGTCAAGAGACGGGGGCGTAGGGCCCAACCTCAGGAACGGGCTTATCTTATGCGGCTTCGGTGCATGACACAGGGAGCTGGGGAGCAATTTCATGCTCTCACGACATCCACCGATGACCCTACTTGCTATTATCAGGTGGTGGGGCATCCACAATGGCGAGACGTAATGGACCAAGAGTTCAACGCGTTGCTACACAACAACACATGGACGCTTGTACTCGCTACTCCAGGCATGAACATAGTGGGATGCAAAATGGGTTTTTCGCACCAAGCGAAATGCCGACGGCACAGTGGAACGCTACAAAGCCCGGCCAGTTGCCAAAGGCTACAATCAAGTAACAGGCGAGGATTTCTTTGAGACGTTTAGCCCGGTTGTTAAACCGACTACGGTTTGACTATTACTAGCATTAGCCATTTCCCGTGGGTGGACACTCCGACAGTTGGATGTCCACAATGCCTTTTTAAACGGGCACCTGGCTGAAACCGTCTATATGCGGCAACTGCCTGGATATGAGGACCCTGATCGCCCTGATCACATCTGTCACTTGCAGCGTTCCCTATATGGGTTGAAGCAGGCACCCCAGGCCTGGTTTAAACGCCTCCATGATTGCTTGATACTCACAGGGTTTGTTGCTTCAAAGACAGATGTGTCTCTGTTCCACTACTCGACTGCCGATTCCAGGGTGTTCTTGCTCATGTATGTGGACGACATTATTATGCTCGGGAGTGATACGGTCTTAGTTGATTCTTTGCTACAGCAACTGGTGACGACATTCAAGATCCGAGATCTCGGGAAACCCACATTCTTTCTTGGAATAGAAACCATTACTGTTTGGATAGTATGATTCTGTCGCAGCGGCATTATATGCAGGATATTCTTCAGCGAGCTGGCATGACCGACTGTAAGTCACTAGCCACACCAGCGTCTGTGACTCAACCTGTGTGTCAGACCGCCGACTCCTTCGCCAATCCAACGCAATACCGCCGTCTAGCCGGGGCTCTTCAATACCTCACCATCACTTGCCCAGATCTGTCCTATTCGGTCAACCGACTCTGCTAGTTTATGCATTCACCCACTGACGAGCACTGGGCCTACTGAAGCGTGTCCTTCGCTATATTAAAGGTACTCTGGAATACGGTCTTCGCGTCACTACATTAGTATGCTCTGATATACATGCATACTCCGACTCTGACTAGGCTGGCTGTCCGGTTGATCGCAAGTCCACCAGTGGCTACGCTGTGTTTTTTGGGAAAAATCTTGTCTCCTGGGTCTCTCGGAAACAACGCACAGTAGCTCGCTCTTTGACTGAGGCTGAGTACAAAGGCCTCGCTGATGTTTGTGCTGAGGTCACCTGGGTTGTGTCTTTGTTACGGGACCTTGGCTTAGGCCCTATCACTCCACCCACTCTGTGGTGTGATAATCTGGGTGCTACCTACCTATGTGCGAGTTCGGTTTTTCATGCTCGCACCAAGCATGTTGAGGTTGACTACCACTTTGTCCGGGACAAAGTCTCGGCTGGTGAGTTCCAGGTTCATTTTGTGTCTACCAAGGATCAACTTGCAGATATCTTCACCAAACCGCTTCCAGCAGCACGATTCACCGCTCTTCGTGACAAGCTCAATCTGGTTACTTACCTACCTTGTGCTTGAGGGGGAGTACTAGACTATGTTATTATTATGTATTTAATTATGTACATTCTATTAGTGATCTAGTCTCTAGCCTATTAGATAGCTCTCTCTCAGTGTATTAATGTTATCACAATTCTGTAAACTGAATGAATTAATCGCTTCCATTCTCATCCACCCGAGCCACAATTATTTCCCTTCGGGGAAATTCATCTCCAAGGTCAAGTTCAAGTCCAAAACACCCCAAATCTCACACACAACAAGGAAATGACTTGAACCCAAGAATAGATCAAAAGATAGCCTTCAAGAAACCTAGATACAAGTTCTAAACATGCATTATCACAAGATCATGCATCAAATCACTCACAATCATCAAGAATCATCAATAGAAGTCAAGAATCATCAATATCAAGTAGAAAATAGGTTTTTTATAGCATGGGTTACCTTTGAAGACCAAGAAACTCTTCCTTTCTACCCTTCTAAGATTCTCCTTGAGACTCATCTTCAACCAAGACTTCTTACACAAGCCAAACCACAAGAAAAAACACCAAACTTAGATAAGGGCACCTTAAAGCTAACTAAAAACACTAAATAACTTTAGATCTTACCATTTCCTAAGCTTGGAAGATAGAAAGGTGGAATCTTGGGATGAATCTTTGCAAGGTTGGATGAGGTCTTTCTTGGCTTGGGGAAGAAGCCAAGATTTCTTAGAGAGAAGGTGGAGTGTTTAGGATTTGGCTAGTAAGGAAATAAATGAAGTGTGTCTTGCTAGGGCAAGCTTAAACACCAATCATGTGTGAAAGGACAAGTTTACCCTTACTAAAAGGCCAGGAAGACAAAAGACAAGATACAAAGCACAAAGCAAAAGGTACTCATGGTTGACTAAGGAATTAGTCAACTTCTAGCCCCTTGACTATTAAATTTCAGGATTTTAGGAAAGGAATTCATCAAGGAAATTAGGATTAATTCTTCAATTAATCTTAATCCTAATTAAGGAGTCGGATTTTCAGGGTGTCACACTCTCCACCCCTAATAAGAAGCTTCGTCCCCAAAGCTTGGGTGCAACGAGGTTCAACAACAAAACAGTCGGTTTCAAAACGTGTGACAAAGCTTTAAAGATAGATTGCAAACAAGGTTTTAAGCAACAAAGGTGTCCACCAACTAACCAAAGCTAGAGAAATCATGGGTTGAAATTAAGGTGATAAGATTGATAGGCTTAGAAATAGGCTGAAGGTTCACAAAGGTAAGTCAAGAAAGAAAGATAAGGTGATAGATAAAAGATTAACCGGGGAGGAAAACTAATTCTACCTTAAGCTTAACTCTCCACCCATTGCTAACCACCGGTCTACACAGAACTAAACGTCTTAGCTAAGGCACAACCTACAACTAAAACTGA